ATGGCAGCAGGCGCCTAGCACATCAGTTTGCACGGTTTGACCCTGCGTTTGCAATAACATCCTTAGTAGGCCAGCAAGTGCTACCTGTGCAGGCGCTACCCAGTTGCAGCTAGTATCAGCTGCGTAAGTGTAACTCGCACCACCACCAGTTTCGGCCTAACACATCTTACCTTATTCACTGCATCTTCATATTGGGGGAGAGTTGGTTGGAGGATTGGGGAGGTGGTGAGCACCTCATAAAGGAGAGAGCGTGATCCACCGCCGCTTTACTGTGGAAAATTGCCAACCTTTTCATCCGGAACCCGGAGGTCGCCCCCCCCCCCCCCCCCCCGGAAAACCCACTACCGGTTCGACCCCCCCCCCCCCCCCCCCCCCCTACTCACCGCCAGCAAACGACTCCCGGTCCCCACCACCGTCCGCATCACATCCCCCACTGGTGTTCCCAGCACCACTGTCCTCACCACCGCTGTCCCCACTGGTTCCACCACCGCCCCTACTGTCCCCACCAGTGCCCCACCACTGTCGCACTGTCCCCGCTGTCCCCAGAACTGTTCCCACCACGGTTCCACTCTCCCCACTGTCTCCACGGCCCCAACCACTGCCCGACTATCCCCACTGTCCCCACTGTCCCACTGACTCCTCCGCTGTCCCACTGAGCTGTCCCACTGTTCCCACCACTGTCCCCACTGTCCCCACCACTGTCCCCACTGTACCTTTGTCCCATTGTCCCACCGCCGTCCTCGCCACCGCCTTCACCACTGTCCCCACCACCATTGTACCCTCCACTGTCCCACTGTTTCCACCTCATTCCCATTGTCCCCACACCACTGTCCCCACCACCACCGTCACCACCACTGTCCACTGTCCCCCCCTGTTCCCACCATTGTCCCCACCACTGTCCCCACCACTACCGTCCCCACCACTGTCCCACTGTCCCACTGTCCCCACCACTGTCCCGCTATCCCCTCACCACTGTCCCCACCAACACCGTCCCCACCACTGTCCGCACCCCCACTCGGTTTTCGAGGGGGGGGGGGGGGTTCGAACCGGTAGTGACCCCCCCGGTTTTCGAAGGGGGGGGGGGGGGGAGGGGTTCGAACCGGTTCCCCCCCTCCCTTTTCATGATGAGCTGGGGGGGGGGGAGGGGTTCGAACCGGTAGTGACCCCCCCCGGTTTTCCGGAGGGGGGGGGGGGGGTTCGAACCGGTAGTGACCCCCCCCGGTTTTCCGCCAGCAGCGGTAGAACACGCTCTTTCTCATAAGTCTATCAGGCCCCCTCTGGACTCGAGGGCGTGGCCCCACAGCCTTTCAAGACGGCGAGCGCGCAGCAGCGTACAAAGCAGTTGACTCATAACAGCTCTCGTGCCAACACCGCCTCAACAACTGAATGCAACTGTCGTGCTGCTCTTCACCATCTTCAATCATCACCCGCTCCTCGGATACCTTATACCTATTCTCACCCAGCTGTTCCACCAAAACAGATGTACGATACAGGCCAGCCGAAATTACGTGGCAAACCTTGCAGCACCGCATTACTACTACGCCACATCTGCTGTCGCCTACACTTGGCAAACTGAGTTGGGGTAGGGGGGAGTGGCTCTTGCGCCCAACCGCCGCGCACATTCGTTACAAAAATTTGCAAGAGTTTCACGGATTGCGGGCGGCTCGTTTTCCAAATGAGACTGTCGCCTAAGCGCCGCGCACAATCGTCTGAAAATAATTGCAAGAGTTTCACGGATTGGGGGGGGGTGTTCAAAATGTGGCTCTCGTCTGATCGTCGCGCACATTCGTCTGACACAGTTGCAAGGGCTTCACGGATTGAAGGCGATTCATTTCAAAATGTGGCTCTCGCCTTAGCGCCGCGCACATTCGCATGACATATTTGCAAGAGGTTCACCGACTGCCATGGTTAACGGACCAGAAACGGTGTTTCGCAGCGATTCAGGATTGTCAGGGCGCAACAAGTATCTTGCTTCGCGGTGTTAAAATCGACCAGCCAGCGTGTAGGTGTGCACAATAGTCAGCCTCAAGAAGCTACCCGTGCTGCTCTCTGACGGCATCGAGCTCGACACTCATGCACCAATGTGAAGTGCACAATTGCTGACATCGTCTCTAGGTGCTCGTCCCAGGAACGGCGTTCTGACACGATTCAGGGCCGCTAAGTCGTAACAGTCAGGTCAACTCGTGGCGTCGAAATCCTGAGAATGATTTGCTGGCACGCCTCCAGATGTTCACACGGTTGTCCCCCAACGGGGCGATTCCCTGTGGAAGTGATCCCTTGTTGGAGCTTATGAAGAATATTGGAAGGAAAGTGGATTTCAACATCGTTGATGAGTCTTGGGTTTACACTCGTCCTCCTTCTCCTCCTCCTTCTCCTCCCCCTCCCCTTCTACCTCCTCCTCCTCCTCCTCCTCCTCCTCCTCCTCCTCCTCTTGCGCCTCCTCCTCCTCCTTCTCCTCCTCCTCCTCTTCCTCCTCCTCTTGCTCCTCCTCCTCCTCCTCTTCCTCCTCCTCCTCCTCCTCTTCCTCCTCCTCCCCCTCCCCTTCTCCGTCCTCCTCCTCCTCATCCTCCTTCTCCTCCTCGTTCTCCTCCTCCTCTCCCTCATCCGCCAATTTCTCATCCTTCATCCTCTCTCCGCCCCCTCCATTGATCCGTCCTCTTCTCCTGCTCCTCCAATTCCTCATCCATCCTTCCCCTCTTAGGGTACGACGTCTTACCCAGCCTTTTATTACACTGCATGCTCCTCCACATCCCTGATCAGGGCGACTCGTCTAGGCATCGTTTCTGCATGGGCTAGTGGGATTACGTCTAGTGGGCGTCTGGACTATATACAGAAAGAGATACACATATACATAAACTCTCTCTCTCTCTCTCTCTTTCTCCCTATCTCTCCTTCTCAATCCGCCGACCCCTTGTGGGTCTCTAGGCGTGTGAGATTATTCCCTCCATAACCCCCCCCTGGGGACCCCAAACCGGCAATTCGACCCCCCCCCCCCAGGGCCCGACCCGAACGCGTCATGGGAGCATCGAGGGCCCCAAAACATGCCAAGAGGGCCCGAAGCGGGCCCCAAGACCATCCAAGGGGGGCCCGAATCGTCGAAAGATCGTTCCAAGGCGCCCAAGATGGCATCCAAACGGCCCAAGATGACTCCAAAACAACCAAAGACGGCCCAAGACGGCCCAAGAGGCCTCCAAGAGGTCCTCCAGGAGGGCCCGAAAAGGCCAAAAGCATTGATTGTCCAAGGGTTTTTGAAGGATTTTGGCATTTGCTCTTTTTGGGCACTCCGACGGCCCAAGAGGTGCCCAAGATCACTCCAAGATCACCTACGCGGCCTCCAAAATGGCCCCAGGACGGCCCAAGAGGCCCCCGAGACGGCTTCAAGAGGGCCCCAAGAGGCCTCCAAGACGGCCAAGATGGCCTCCAAGACGGCTCAGATGGCCCCAAGATGCCTCCAAGACGGCCCTGGATGCCCCAAAAACGGCCTAAGGTGGCCTCACGATGGCCCAAGACGGCCCATGAGGCTCTCAAGAGGCCTCCAAGACGGCCCAAGAGGCCTCCAAGAGGTCCTCCAGGAGGAACCGAAGAGGTCAAAATCACTGATTTCCCTGAGGGTGTTTGACGAATTTCGGCATTTGCTCTTTTTGGGAATTCCGACGGCTCAAGACGGCCCAAGAGGTACCAAAGATCGCCCCAAGATCGCCCACGAGGCCTCCAAGATGGCCCCAGGACGGCCCAAGAGGCCCCCGAGACGGCGTCAAGAGGGCCCCAAGAGGCCTCCAAGACGGCCAAGATGGCCTCCAAGACGGCTCTGATGGCCCCAAGATGCCTCCAAGACGGCCCTAGATGCACCAAAAACGGCCTAGAATGGCCTCACGATGGCCCAAGACGGCCCATGAGGCTCTCAAGAGGCCTCCAAGACGGCCCAAGAGGCCTCCAAGAGGTCCTCCAGGAGCACCCGAAGAAATCAAAATCATTGATTTTCCGAAGGTGTTTGAGGGATGTCGGCATGTGCTCATTTTATCGGCATGCCGACGGCTTAAGACAGCCCAAGAGGCCCCCAAGGTCGCCCCAAGATCGCCCACGAGGCCTCCAAGATGGCCCCATGACAGCCCAAGAGGCCCCAAAACGGCACCCAGAGGGCCCCAGCAGGCCTCCAAGACGACCAAGATGGCCTCCAAGACGGCTGAGGCGACCCAAAATGCACCAAAGATGGCGTAAGATGACCTGCGCATGGCTCCAAGATGACCCAAGATGGCCTCCAACACGGCCAAGATGGCCTCCAAGACGTCGAAGATGGCCCCAAGATGCCTTCAAGACGGCCCAAGATGCACCCACGACTGCAGAAAATAGCCTCAAGATGGCCCCAGACGGCCCAAGAGGCCTCCAAGAGGGCCTCAGAGGCCTCGAAGACCCCTAGGACAGCTCCAAGACGGCCCACAAAGGTCCCAGGACCGCCAAAGAAGCCCCGATGACGTCCCAAGGAGGCCCGCGGACGGCGCCGAAAGGTTCTCTCTCTCTCTCTCTCTGTATATATATATATATATATATATATGTACATCTCTCTCTCTCTCTCTCTACTGATCTCTCTCCTTTTCCTTGTCCTCATCCTTCCTCGTCCTCTTCACCCGCCACCTCCCCCTCGAATATACATAGCTTCGTGCCCTGATTACGCATAACACGATGGTGTTCTTTTGGGGGGTCTGGGCCTGCTATGTCACCAGTCGGCTGGTATAGGAAAAAACAGCGCCGTGTGGAGGGATGGATGAGACGGGTGGGATGTCTGATATGGTGCGAGCGCACCTGACTTGCCCTTCCCCTCTCTCTCTCTTGCTCTGAGTCCCCCGCTCGCTTCAACTCCGCTTCTTTCGGAAATCCGTCTGAGCACCCCTCCATCTCTGTGCCCTATCGGCTGCCTCTCGCCACATCGCCCATGCCCTCATGGTTGACCGCCCGCCTACGCCCCCATGCCTGCCGGGTCGGCGGGCCAGACACAGCCGCGCTGATACGCCAGGTTGAAGAACAAACTGAAACCGAGCAGCAAAAACACCCACTCGCGCTTTATACCTGGGGACAGAGAGCGCTCAGGCGAGGAGGGGGAGGGGAAGGACGGGGAAGAGGGGAGGGTGGGGAGGGAGGGAGGGCAAGGAGAGAGGAGGGAAGGGAGCGTTGGTCAAGAGAAGAGAAGGGACGGCAGGAAGTGAAGAGACACCGGTATCGCCAGGCTGGCGGCGTATCCGCGTCGTGAACTCAGCGGCGACGCCCCAATAGCACCAGCCTCCAGGCCTTCAAAACCAAGGGGCAGAGACAATCAGAAGCACGTGTCCAGCATGGCACATCTCTACGTCGAGCCTGGCAGCCGTAGGGAGGGGAGAAGCAGGAATGGTGAAGAGGTTGGAAAAGTCCTCCGCTTCCAACTCCCCCGTCCTGGACGCGGTCATCATCGCAAGGCCTGATCTCGATGACTCTTTGCCATTCGCACGGTATTGGCTCGCACGGGCACCACAGACAGCAGTATCGCAAGCACGGAGCATGTTCGGGACGGCCTCTCGCTGCGGCAGATCACACGCTGTGTCCATCTGGCTGCATCGAAGCAGCCTCTCGGCCTCGTCCTCCTCAGCCTCCTCGTTCTCGTCGTCATCAGCCTCCTGGTCCTCCGAGGATGACGAGAAAGAGGGAGGCGAGGAGGAAGGAGCGGGCTGTGAGGTTGCGGTCGATGAGGCGGCCGCCAGCCCGCGCGCCCCGACTGGGGCTCTTGCCGCACCCGAGGCACCAAGCCCCCGCTGGCCCCCCGGAGCGCGAGGCGCAACCCCAGGAGAGCGCGCAGAGGGAGAGGCGCACGGTGCGGGCAAGAGCGGTGCGCAAGCTGGCGCGTGCAAGAGCGACGGACCAGCGAGGCGCGTGGAGCAGCCTCCGCTGGAGCCGCCACCGTCGCCGCGCACCGCGCAAGCGCCGGCGGAGGAGCGGCACGACGATCCCGCCAAGGTGCGCCCGGGCGCTACCGACGGCGGCGCTCAGCGCGCGGCGGGCGACGACCCGAGGAGGGCCCCGGGGCAGCGCTGGGCGCGGCGGGGTGGCGCTGGCCTGGGGTGAGGAGGAAGCCCCAAAACCCTCCACTCCTTGAGCCGAGAAACTGAGAGAACACACGAGGCGTCAGGAAGTCGGCCAGCTTGCCAGAGTCTCGTCGGGAGGCAGGCCTGCACATCCCCTCTGAAGAACATCCACGGATCTGGGATGGGAGGGGGGCGAGCGGCCCGAGCTGCTGCTGCTGCTGCTGCTGCCACTGCTGCTGCTAATGATCCTCTCCTCCTCCTCCTCCACCTCCTCCTCCGCGTTCATCATGATCATCATCATCATCATCACCATCATCACCATCATCATCATCATCATCATCATCATCATCATCATCATCATCATCATCATGATCATCATCCGCATCAACATCATCATCATCAGAAGCAGCAGCATCAGCAGCATCATCACCACCATCACCGTCATCAGCATCATCATCACCATCTCCATCACCATCATCATCATCATCATCATCATCAGCATCATCATCACCATCATCATCATAGTCGTCATCATCACCATCATTAACATCATCATCGTCATCAGCATCATCGTTAGCATCATCATCAGCATCATCAGCAGCATCATCATAACCATTATTATCATCAGCAGCAGCAGCCGCATCATCATAGTCAGCAGCATCATCATCATCGTCATCATCTCCATCATCAGCATCATCACCATTATCATCATCAGCAGCAGCATCAGAAGCAGCAGCAACAGCAACAGCAACATCAGCATCAACATCAACATCATAATCAGAAGCAGCAGCAGCAACATCATCATCAGCATCAACATCATCATCATTGTCATCATGGTTATGGTCGTCGTCATCAGCATCAGCATCAGCAACATCATCATCATCATCATCGGCATCGTCATCATCATAATTATAATCATTGTGATCACATTCACCATCACCCTCAGCATCATCACCAGCAGCAGCATCAACACAAACAATATCAGCATCATCATCGTCGTCAGAAACATCCGCACCACCTACACCATCACCAGCACCATCACCGGCATCATCGTCAGCATCATCATCATCATCATCGTCATCAGCATCGTCATCAGCATCGTTCGTCATCATCATCATCATCAGCATCATCATCATCATCATCAGCAGCAGCATTACCATCATCATCCATCACCAACACCATCATTACCTGGGCATAATCCTACTCCTCTCCTCCAACGCATCCTGTTGCCCATCCTCCCCCTCTTCGTCCTCCACCTCCCCCTCCTCCTCCTTATCATCATCACAATCTTCATCAACATCACCATCACCATCATCATCACCACCATCATCTTCAGCAACAGCATCATCGTCATCACCATTACCAGCATAATAATCATCATCACATAATCGTCAGCAACCACCTACACCATCATCATCAGCAGCAGCATCGGCATCAGCATCAGCATCATCAGTATCATCAGTATCATCAGCATCATCATCTTCATCATCAGCCTCATATTCAACATCACCCTCAGCAGCATCATCATCAGCAGCATCACCATCACCATCCCCGACCCTCAGATCCTGAGAGCAAAAGTTTCCAAAATATTACAGAATCGCACACAATCACGATCGGAGCATTAGACCCCGTGTACTTCTGCGGAATGCTTCGAGCCGGGCAGATCTATGATGGGCGTGGCGCCCGAAACTTGGCGAAAACGCCCAGCATGAAAAAATGCAACGCCTGGACCTCAAGGTAGAGATGTGCTTCACCGCCCACGCAGAAGGAGGGCGGCGAACGGCCTGGGAATCGCAGCCGCCTGGCGGTTGGCGACGCGACCGCCTGCGACGCGACCGCGTCGGCCGACACTGCCACCTCGCAGCCGCTCGAAGTCGGCGACACGGTGCCTCGGCAGGATCCGCCCATGGCGCTTCGGTCCGACCGCCCCGGCTCGCAGGCTGTGGCCAACAACCTCCAGAAACCTCGATCCCCCTCCACCTCCTCCTCCTCCTCCTCATCCTCATCCATAGCCACGGCACGCACCAAGGCTCTTCCGAGATGGCCGCGCACAGCAGCGCAGCCAGACACACGCTGACGATGCATGAATGAGCAGTTCAGACGCAACAGAGGATTTGGCTTGCTGACGAGAATGTGTCTTTCTCATGCTCACAGGCGACAGCGTGCTACAACCCCTTGGCGGCACAACCAGAAAGACTAGCAGTGATTGTCCAGGAGTGCGCGAATTTCGACACAGTTGTGCTGGTGGGAACTCAGAGAAGACAAGTGGGGGACATCATTCAGCAGAAGACGAAGACAGGCCAAAAGATCGAGATAGGCGGCAAGCACCCCAAGTACAGCAACAAGAGCGCGGGGTGCCTGATCGAGTGGCAGGGAAACTGGGCAACGAGCTCGCAGGAAAGGGACTAGCAGTTACACCACGAAGAGATGGCGCGCAGATTCTCAACATAGCGGAGTAGTACCCCGCGCAGCCTAAGACCGGGAACGACAGGATCAGGTACGACCAATTAGCGCAGGACATAGTGGGTGGACAAACAGCTACGAGACAGCGCAGGACGGACATTGCCCTTTGTCATGGGACATTTCAACGATGGAATCGGAGCTACGGACAAAGATGTATCCAGACCAATCAGAGGAATGGGGACTAGAACGACTACCGAACGCCTGCCTCTGGCAGCAACACGACAAATTGGAGCAATTGCGGAAAGGCAATTCCCTGATCAGTGCTATCGGAGGGAACGCGGAGACAAACGCATTCTGGGAGAAGACGAACACGATCATCGACCACCGACTCATCCAGACCGAGATGCAGAAGTTGACATCGTATCACCAGAGAGATGTTACTACACATGGACACCGAGGCTACACATATCATGTCTATCCACGTGACAAATTCCCCAATCAGAGCTTGCCTCTGTAGGGGTCCTAGCGGATTCATATGGTTAGGTTAGGTTTGCCGCCGATTTTCGCTGCACGCCCGGGTGCCCGGGTGCCCGGGGGGTGCCCGGGTGCCCGGGTGCCCGGGTGCCCGGACGTGCCAGGGGGTGCCCGGGTGCCCCGGTGCCCGGGTGCCCGGGTACCCCGGCGTGCCCGGGGGTGCCTGGGGGTGCCCGGGGGTGCCCTATAGCCCTATAGCCCAATAGCCCTAAAGCCCTAAAGCCCTACAACTCTATAGCCCCATAGCTCTATAGCCCTGTAGCTCAATAGCCCTATAGCTCCCTAGCCCTGATTGGGTTGTTTCTCCGGTATCATGTCTATCCACGTGACAGTCCGGCTGAGAGCGACGGAGAGCTACTGCGAAGACGACGTTACCACTGCCGCGCTGGAACCGAAATGCTTCATGGACGCACGCTTGTACAAGCGGTGGGAAATGAAATTCTCAAAGAGAAGCTGAGATGGGTGTTTCGCACCGAGCACCAGCTTGCGACGAGACATTCAAGATGATCAACGAAATTGTGATGGACCAGGCCGAGAAGCACTACAAGCAGAAACCGCCAGTGGCTAGCGAGCACGGGAAGTACCGAGAGGAACGTCGGCGGCTGCCGGCAAGAAGGAGAGGCATCAATATGGAGTCCAAAGAGGATATGACCAACACGGAGGAGCAGTAGGTGCAAGGCAGCTCAAAGTGGTCGGGAGGCATATGGGAACCACGTAGACGAGACTGCAGGGAGATCCAGCTCGCCCAACCGGCCAGGACGGAATGGATCGAGCTCTGGGAAGGCGTAGGAGGTGACGAAGGCATGAAAGGAGTCGAGGCAACGCTTCTGATGGAAACAGGAAGGCACGCATGGACCCCACAGCCATTGAGACTGAAGCTACGTAACGACGTGGATGTGCAAGCAAAAAGAGATGCTGAAAATGTAAGCAGACGACCACGTCGAGCGAGACTACGCAGGGCTGTGCAGCTGGGCTGGAGCAGTGCCGACAGAGATTTGGAGAATGTCTCTCAAAAAGCCCATGAAAGTGCCCAACAAAGCTGGTGCGGGAGCATACACTGACATCCCCTACCCAAAGAATTTCCGCGAGCAAATGGAGTCGGCGCTGCGTACGCTAAGGTGTGCGAGAACGACGCCGACAGTATGGCACTAGAGCGAGGCGACAACGGTCAAGAAAAACAGCAGGAAGGGCCCAGCGGAGAAGAAGGTCTATCAGACTGTGGACCCGCCGGGCAAGACTTCATGCGCGTCAACGCTGCGGAGGCCACGGAGCACGGAGACATGGGCTGCGGCTCCGCCAGGGGAGGGAGACGCGAAGGAGCGATCCTGGCGTCAATGATTGTCGAGTCGAGACTCTCAAGAATCGGCTACAGCTACGCGAGCTCTGGCCACCGCTCGAACGCCCACTCCCCGTGCATCTCTCGATTTCGTGCGTGTAGTCTTGGCTCGATGATCCAGGATGCTCCTCGATGGTCATCGCCAAAGAAGAACGCACACGTCCGAGCGATGCCAAGACGCGAGCAACATGAAAGGACACGAGCAATGCACTCGCGATCTGCAGCGGCAGAGCATGGACAGGGTCGACAAGGAGCTGCTGCCCGAGGCCAGCGAGGACCCAGGGCAGCATCGGCATCGGCCGAGACCACCCAAAGCGAGGGGCCATGAAGAACAATTGCGGAGGACTAACCGCAGACCCGCACATGGTGCGCAACTTCGTGGCGAGCTTCAAACCAGCGATGGACGGATGGCCAGAGGACGGTGAAAGGAAGATAGCACAGGAACTTTGCCTACGCGGGGAGCGTCAGGCGGCGGGTGATCTAGCAGGGCTGAGGGTTAACGTCGACACGTTCAAGTATGCGGGCGACATACAGACGATAGGTAGGTGGACCCATACCGAATACGGAGGAGTTACCAAGCAGAGCGAGGCAAACGGACGACATGCTAGAGATTCAACTAAAGCAGATAGGACTTTGACAAAACAGCCGCCAAGAATACACGGTGGTGCATGCTTAAGAAACAGGATCACAAACTGAATGTTTGCGGCTGCAACGTGGTGGGAAGTTCGATTTTCAAGATGAATTGCACATGAGGCGCGATACTTGTGACAGCATCTGCACGCTATTCAAAGCTATGCGGACGATCTACCCAGACGGATCAAGCAACGCTGAATGCATTCCAAGAATGCGGAGGATGTTGGCACAAAGGTGGGATACCATACACATGGAAGAGGCCGGCATTCATATTTGCAAGGTCGTTAACACAGCGCTCAGCTGCATACATTGTTTCCTCTCGACGGCGACGGAATACCAGAAGCTGAAGTTCAGCTTCTGGTATTCCGTCGCTGAATACCAGAAGCTGAAGTTCAGCTTCTGGTGTTCAGCTGCTGAACAGCCTGATAGCGTGACTTTGCAGGAAAGCGAGTAAAGGCCGAAACATACTGCGAGGATGGCAACATACGCGGCATGAGCAGCGAGAAGGTGCTCAAGTTCTGGAAGATATTACTAGCGGAGAACAAAGGCTTTGATCAGAACAGTGGGAAAGATACTACAGCGACCACTGCACGACAGCACAATAAACAACCACTGGCGGCACTATTTGGCAAGCTCGACATCAAAGACGAACCCACAACGGTGCAGGCTACTGGGCCGGTCCATCCCGAGGCGAACGGCTGGGCAAAGAGAGTGATCACAGACCTCGAGCAGGCGAGAAAGAGAGTGGCTAACTTTCTAGAGCACATCCAGGGCAGGATCACCGTCCTAGCCTCTCCACGGAGGACTGGCATAAGGACATGCTACACTGAGACCCGAAGGAGCTTAGACAGGCGGGACTTCTGAGAAGGCCTTCTCCTTCTCACTTCCCCCCCTCGCTCGCCGCCGACAAATCGCCACGGAGGAGGGGGAAGAGGGCGGGGGAGGGAAAGAGAGAACGAGGTCGGGGATGAGGGGCAACATTAAAGGGGAACTGGCTCAGGGGAGGGAAACATCGACCTGGAGTCGGCGATACTCCGCCGATGGACCTGCGATTGGCCCCCGATAGCGGGTCCGCACGTTCTCGGGCGAGGTGGGACTTCGGTACCCTGTCGGAGATCAGAGGGCGATTGGGAGTCGATGCATCCTGAGCCCATCCCCCCCTCCTGCGCTGCCCCTGATGAGGAGGTCTTCGCATGGCGGAAGCGAGTCCCGAGGGCAACGGGTCCTGGACACTGGCGCCCTCCCCCAGGACGAGCTTCTCACCCCGAGCTGTCTTCTGGCAGCCCTGGGGCCCGTGGAGGGCCCCGAGAGCCACGAAAACGGCGAGACGGAACCCCTCGGCACCCGTTGCCCCCAGGGGCCGCTCTCCACCCTTGGCCCAATGGCGGGAGGTCGGGGCGAAGGTTGGCGGCGCGCACAAAGTGGGCAGGGGGAGGGGGGCAGGCTTCTCAGAAGGAGGCTGCTTCTCAGGAGGCGCCGGCCCTCACATCTACGGACAAGGCCCGCACCTTCTGAGAAGCAGGGGGGCTCCTGAGAAGGCTTCCCCCCTCACCCTTCCCCCTCTGCGCGCGGCCGAGAATCTCGAGAAGGATCCCTCTGCCCCGCCGCGGCCCGCGCCGAGCCCCTGGCCGCCGAGGTTCCCCAAGAAATGCGGCCGGCGCCGCGCCGCCTCGCCGGGCGCCGCCGCGCCGGGCGTCACCACGGCGTCCCCCGCAGACCGCCGGGAGCTGCTGCCGCCGCCGCGGCCGCCTCCGGCGGGCCCGCCGCCGCCCTGTCGGGCCGGGGGGGTGTAAAGGTGGGGTAGGGTCAACATAGACACTAAATGTTGCGCAGATGGGGGAAAGCGGAGCACGATCGACTATCTGAAGAATGAGAAGAAGGTGAAGCGAAAGAGGGAAGCCGGATAACAACGGAGGCAACACAGATTGGGCAAGAAGCACGCCACACGAACTTCGGAATAGCCGAGAGAGTAGGGCGGTGAGGTGACCTGTCGGTCCGATTATTGAAGTAGGAAGGCGTTTGAAGCAGATTGGGATCTGGGAATTCAAAAATACCTACTTTGAACGACCGACGTGCACTCCGGATTCTGCAGTCAAAAGGGGGTGGTCTGGTTTTGGGGGGGTCTGATTCAAAATGTCTTGGAGGGCTCCACGGTGGTCCTGACAAAGGCACCCCTTTCGTGGCCGGTCTAGGGGTGGTCTAAAGCTGCTCGTCTGGGAGGGCTGTGCCCCCCTCCTATTACGAAATATGGAATAAAGAAGAACCGGTCTCAATGGCTCGTGGAATTCCTTAACCCCACCTTGGGGGAACCCCCTGAACGAAGCCCCGAGCGGGACGGGACTGGGGCGGGGCCCCAGGTGAATTTGCAGAACGAGCCCAGGAATTCTCGCGCCGTGGCAGAAAACACGGCAGATGATGTCTGTCTCTTTGGGGGTTCCGGGGTCTCGCTGGGTCCCAGGACCGTCAAAGAATCCCTCGGGATGAAAAGCCCAGCCTGGGAAAGGGTCGGGACTCTTGGGGACAACGTATTGGAAGAATAACAGGACATCGGATGTATGGGGAACTCGTTTTCCGACTGCAAGTAACGCTGTCACGTCGACCTCGGCGCCATCGTG